CTTTGCATTAGGTGAGTTGCTTGTCCCCTCTTCTGCAGCTCGTTTCAGAACTTTGTGGCACCGGGTAATCAAGTTCTTCTTTTTGCAAGATTTTTACATTTAGCCTGATTCCTTGCGAAGGGGAGGTGCTACTACTGCTTTTCGACGGGGTACTACATTTGACAAATTATTACTTCGAGACCGTTGGACACACCAACGCATAGCCAGACTTTACCTCGACGAAGCCTTGCAGCAATCCTCCCTCTTTTCCTTTTCTGTTGCTTCTAAGTAGCGCCTTCATTGGGCACAAACTCAATTGCTATCTACCGGCTTTGCCATGAGGGGGCGCATGGAAGGGAAGGAGGGCCGTCCAGTGCAGGATCTTTTGAGGTGTATTGGTCGCTGAGGTTTTTTGTTGATGATACATTTGTGCTTAGAGGCTTTGACCTTTTCAATATCTGCTGGAAACAGCTAAAAATAAGAGAGCGTAGGCATTGAATGTTTAGTGTGTGCCATTGTGGCTTGCCATAGGTATACACGTGCATGGTGTGCCGATGCAGTTTGGGTTTCACCCACCCACCTCCCCCGTCCAGTGTAGGATCTTTTTAGGTGCACTGGTCACTGAGGTTTTTTGCTGATGATGCATTTGTGCTTAGAGGTTTTGACCTTTTTAGTATCTGCTGGAAGCAGCCAAAAATATGAGAGCGCAGGCATTGAATCTTTAGTGTGTTTAGATATGTATATTGGTATTTAGTAAACAAATAATTTTATATTATATAATTATGGTTATTATAAAAATTTTATTTTATCAAATTTTAAATATATTTTATAATTTTTATATAAATTTTTAAAATATTTTATTTATTTATTTATTAACTAATTTTCTATTATTATTTATTTATTTTGAAATTTATTTATTTTTATTTGTTTTTTATTTATTATTTGTTTTTTAATTAATGATGTGTTTATTTATTTATTAAAATTATTTATTTATCGATCGTTTTTTTGTTCTATTTGTTTATCGATTTTTTTATAATTTTTTATTGTTTAATTAATTTATTTATCTATATATTTATTTTTTGTTTTTATTATCACATTTCGATTGTTTTTTTATGCCTAAATTTGTGAAAATGTTAGGGTTATTATAAAATTTATATTTAACTTTGCAAAAATGTTATATAAAAGTGCTATATTTACCACGAAATCTATATTTAAACCTTACGAAAATGTTATATCTACCACGAAATCTATACCTAACCTTGCGAGAGTCTTACGATTACCACGAAATCTATACTTAATCTTACGAAAGCACCGCGCTTATCGCGCAATTCAAACTTGGTAGTAGCGGTGATAGTGTTATGGTGGTGGTGGTGGTAATGGTGGCGGTGGTGGTTATAATTATGGTTATAGTTGTGGTTGTGGTGGTTGTGGTTATGGTTATGGTTAAAGTTGTTATTAGTGGTGTTATTCTTGTGGTTATAGTTATGGTTGTGGTTGTGGTTGTTATTATTGTTAATAATGGTAATAATATTGTTGTTATTAGTGGTGAAAATGGTATTATATTAATATTGTCATTAATATTATTAATATTATTCATATTATTAATATTATTAATATTATTAATATTATTATTTTAATAATATTATGAAATAATAAATTATAGATTTTGAAAATCTTATTATTTATGAATGAAATATTGGGCAACTTCGACATTATTGGTTTTTCTAGAATTCGTAATATGTTTATTATACAATTGTTCCTATAATATATTCTTGAATATTATTTAGAGGATTTTGGAATCTTAATATTTTTATTATGGTTATGGGGTAAGATTTTAAAAATATTTATGATTTTTCGATATGATTTATGATTTTGTTAATTTTATAATTTGATATTAATAAAATAAAAGAAATTAATATATATATATAATTGTTAATTTAATATTAATATAAATTTATAAAATATATTAATTATAAACTCCAAAAGACAAAAAAAATAGCCCGAGATTCGAAAAGGCGCCTTTTGCCGTCTAGTGGCGGAACTTGAAGGGGAGCGGGTTGTGACGACGTTTTTCAATTTGCGATGGCATTTTTGCGGTTGGTGGACATGATGCTTGATATGGATTGTTTTGCGAGATCTATGTATTTCGGACCACGATTATATAAATTTGCCAGGTGAGACGGCCCTGAGACGGACCTGAGACGGCCCTGAAAGAAATTTGGATCAGCCAGGGGCCAAAGGCGTTTCTTGCAAACTGACGGCGTTTCTTGAATTCAACGATTTTTTTTGGTTGTGGCGATAGAAATTTCCGTCCAAATTCACAACGGCGCTTATTTTAGCCCGACGGAATTCTCAGGTATAGATATATAAACCGAATATATTTATTTTATATTGTGTTTTTATTAAAATATATATTTAAAATACACAATTTAAATCTATATAATTAACTATATATTATCTAAGAAGAAATTAAATGTATAGAAAATTGTATTTAATAACAAAATCATGATATTAATATTTAAATTATTATTAAATATATATTAATTATATTTATTGTATTTATAATTTAAATAATATTTAGAATAATCTATATTTATTATTTTTTATAATTTGATAAACACATAAATTCTGATGATATTCCCAACAGCCCCATATCCTCCTAGAATCCTTGCGCCCCGGGACTGCCCCGGAACCTTCGCGGAATTTTTGCAAAATTCTGAATTTGTGGATCCTTACCTCAGAGCCGTCCTAGATTGCCCCGGAGCTAATCTGAGCAGAGACCCCATCGTTTTCAGCTATTGGGGGGGTATAAGTCCCGATTACTCGTGAAGTAATTTAGATCGAGATTATTAATTCTTAATCGGGTTCCATATACTAAGCAAGCATCGCCCAACTATAAAGCAGCGGCTTCAATCGATCTGCGAAAGCGTAAATTTCAAACCATTACAAAACACACAATTAAACGGAAAATAAAATTAAAAAATATTAATTTAATATAACCTAGCCTAAAAAGTCCGACAAAAATTCAACAATACAATTCATAGATTCCCTCCCAAAAATATCATTGTATATCAATAAATCTAAATAATATCAATTTAATACAACTAATATATATTCGATATTATAACCAAAAACCCAATTAACGCCCGCATATACGAACAAAAACCCACAAAAAATATTTTCAAATTACAATTAACTATAATAATACCATCTATATTCCCATAATATAAATACAATCCCAAATAATCCAAATTTAACAATTATTTATTCTTATATTTTTTATATTATTAAAATTTCATAAAAAAATAATTTATCACAAAAAATCTATAAAATCCTCATAAATTCATAAAAATATCTCCCTAATACAACCTTACCTCAAATCATCCCAAATTACCTCAAAACCTATTTAAGCTAAAACCCAAAATATTCAATTATTGAAATATAAATATAATTATTATAATGTTAATTTAAAATTCAATATTTCCAAAATAATATATTATTCAATAAATAATTCTCCAATTTCAATCCAAAAATAAAAATAATTTATCAATTTCATCCATTCCAACCTTATCCCAATCTATACTACATTTTACAATATCGAAATCCAAACACCTATCATATTATTTACAAACTAAAAAATATATAATAAAATAATATTAAAAGAAGAAAAAAACATATATATATATATATATAGTGTATATTCATGTAATTCAATATGGTTCTATATATGTAATCAAAACAAATCAACGATTTATATTTCTCTTGCATGTTGTTGTTTTTATTTGTTTGTTATCATTTTCTTGTTTCTCAGGTTAAATCCTGGATAATCAAATGTCGCATGTCTATTCCAACCGCGATTTCTTGCCGTCCTCCTGCGCTTCCTGGATTTCGGAGCGTTTGAGTCTCTCACCTCTCGCAAAAGCCAGCCACGCTTTTTGTCCATCCCAAAGCCTGGCAGCAATTCTCAGCCGTGGCCCATAACCCCTTCCGCGTACCGAGTTTGAACCCCCACACTCAGCAGTCCTCTGGCGCAGGTCTCTTTTCACCTGGCGAGCAGCCTCAATGTGATGAGCAAACTATCATTGCAAATGGGAACCGTCCTATGGCCATCTAACAAAATCCACGGATGCAACGCATCAAGGCGTGTGATAGCAGGTTGTGCGCATTAGACAGGGCCGTGGGGATTCTACACAGAAATTGACAAGCACTCACTCTCGCCATTCAAAGTCAAACTACGCTGCGACGCCGTTTCCGACCTGGCCTTCCTTCTTCTTGAAAAACCTGCCGATGCCTTTGGCTGTCTGCTTGGCGTCGTACCTGCGGCTTTCTGCGGCAGCGCGTCCAAATGACGTGAGGGTTTTCTTACTTTAAGTGGAAGCCAAAGGAAGAACCACCATTTTGGGGGTGCCCCTTGCAAGCCCAAAGCCGCCCGCGCAGTTTGTGGTTAGAGCATGCACAATTGGCTGTCTGCTTGGCGCCGTACCTGCGGCTTTCTGCGGCAGCGCGTGATAGTTCTCAGAACGTGATTGTTGAGTGGATGGATCTTTGAAGATGGCCGCTGTCATGTTATCCTCAAGCTCTATTTGTGGTTTATGCCATGGGGATTGGACTCTGGGCTGTTCTGATTTGTGGAGCACTCATAGGCCAGCTCTCGGTGGTGGTGCCTCTAGTGACCTTGGGCCGTGGATCATTGACCCCTGAATCCCTTGAAGCCTCAGTGGCTCGCGCTGTTTCAGAGACATTGAAATTGTGTGCGGAACTGGATTCAACCTCACCACCCCCTCCACCGTCTGATCCTTTGCCTTTGGCGTATTGGAAGGTCAGTGGCTGGGTGACTGCACTTGGGATTGGGCTGATCACCATTTGCCTGGGTTGCGCGTGTGTGCCCTGGTGTTTGATCTGGGGCCAGCGCCAGCGGAACTTGGAGGCCACAGCATCCGAGGGAGAGTCTCCAAAGTCCCCCCAGTTGGCCCTTGAGCAACTGGCCAGAAATCAGTTGGCTGAGTTGAGGGTTCGACGGCATGCTCGCCAACCGAATCGCCCTTCTGGAATATGACGTGCCTGGGCCACAGGTCATTCATGAACGGATGGTCATCGAGCATGTGGGCGGGGACGACTATGTGGTATGTAGTCCTGATAGAGACATTTTTGTGGAACAGTTGTCAGTGGAAAACCCAGACCTCAGATCATTCAGGCTGAGACCAGCCGCCAATCAGCTCCCCCCTGGAGTGAACCGAGCACAGATCTATGGGTTGCCGGCTTGGAATCCAGGGGAGGTTGCAGCCATCAATGATGAAGGAAGGCGACTGGCGCAGCAAGAGAGGGCCCAACGTGGAGGTGCCGCGGGGGGGATTGCTGCGCCGCCCGGAGGAGCCGTGGCCCCGCGATCTGCTGCTCCGGCGGCAGACGCGGTTCCAACTGGCCCAGGCGCGGTTAATCTCACTCCTGGCATTCCTACTTGGGTTGCTGCAGAGGCGATAGATGGGTATCGGTATGGTCAGATTGTTGAAGGCGTGCAGGCTGCAGACAACACTGGTAGCAAGACAGTGCACCTTTTGGCTGATGGCCGTCAGTTGTTCTGCATGTGCGTTGTGGATTCAACTGTCGAAGAATTCAACAATTGAGTTTCTTTGTGCGATGGCCGGATCAACCAAAGGAAGAAGAACGCCCTTGGCACGCCGGAGGTCGCATTGGCCGATGCAGTTTCAGCTTCGCAGCAGTTCGACATGGGATGGAAGATGGCAGGGCCCCGGACAGCTCAGTGGTGTCTCAATTATTTGGCAGTTGAAGGAGTGGGACTGGAAGCTCACCACGAGAGGTTCAGACAGTTGTGCCGTCTGGATTCAGCAGCGTGGGGAGTCCAGGAGCATTTTCAACTGTCGATGATGCTGAGGCAACTCCTGCAAGTTGACAGTATCAATGGATGCAACTCTTTGGGAGTGGAGCTCATGTTCAGGCGACTTCAGACCATTGAGTACGCCCACTCAGAGAAGGCCAGGGAGAACGAGTCGAGGCTGTCAGGAGGCAAGTTGGCGTTGGAGGAGCAGTATGTTTTCGGATCAGTTGTCCGACATGCCGGAACCCTGATGATTGCGCCTTCGTTGCTGAGCCACGTGAAGGAGGAGACAGAGAAGGAGGTGCTGCTGGCCAAGAATCTCCGCAAGGCCAAGGAGGAAAGGGAGTTGGCCGCCAAGAAAGGCGGGAAGAAGAATGCCAAGAATGAGGAAGGCCCCTGATGAAGGGGCTGATGCTGGAGGGTGGGTCGGCTTCAGCATCGATGCCACAGACCCAATGGATTCAGTCCGATGATCGAAGTGTTCCACGAGAAGTGTTCCCTCTTCCATCGTGTAGCTCGCTGCAGGACTGCAGAAATCCATCTTCGGAGGCCAGTGTTTGCAGAACTGTTCGACGGAGGCTGGAGAGACGGCAGCACGTGAGTCAGATGGTGGAGGAGTGTGTTTGGGGGCTCAATGCATTGTACAGTGGAGAGCCGGTGCAGAAGGCTTTGTCGTCTGCGCCACCTTCAGCCTCACAGCACAGGATTATTTTGCATGTTTTGAATTCAGTCAAGGCGTTGGGCCCTCCTCCGGAGAAGCTCACCGGCCCAGGAGCGTTAGAACAGCTCCGGGCTTTCGACGGGTACGGCGACGACCAGATGCCGTGCTCTGTTCGACCATATTCACCCCAGCTCCTGTCTTTGCCTTCGTGCGGGAACGAAAGCGTACCGCTCGAGAAATTGATGGGAGAGGAGGGTTGTACACTAGTGGACGAGTTCATTCGTACCCGTCTTCTGCCGGAGAATGAGGCTCGCAGGAATGTCAGGGCGAGTGGCTTGAGGGAAGCGTACAGTGATCCACGTCTTCGAGAGCCTGACACTTACCGGCAGTTCGTGCATAGGTTGCTGGAGGCAGATCTGGTGGAAGTCGTGAAGGAGAAGTGGGCAGAGAAGATAGAGATCTTCTTTGTTGCCAAGAAGGACGGAAGGCTGAGGATGGTTTGTGACTGCAGGTTGTCGAACTGTCATTTCGCAAAACCTGACAAGGTTCGGCTATGCACTGCGGAAGCACTGACCCGGATACAGCTGCCACCGGGGTCGACCCTGCACGTATCTACGGCAGATCTCAAAGATGCCTTCTATCACTTCCAGCTTCCAGCGGGTTTGAGGCGGTTTTTTGGCCTTCGCGGACTCAGGGCTGGAGAGTTGGGGCTGTCTGAGATAAACGGTCACGCAGTGGGTCCCAATGAGGAGGTATTTCCACGTTTGAAGGTGTTGCCCATGGGGTGGTCGCATGCCCTTTTTTGGTGTCAGCGGTTGCATCAAAGGATAGTTGCATCAATAGGGGCTGGTCCTGACAACTGTGTTGAGGACAAGGTTGCAATCCCTGATCCAACCGTAATGCACCTCGAGTATGTTGACAATTTCGTTTGCTTGGGAACAGATGGACCGGCAGTCGAAGCACTGTCATCCGCCGGTGTCACGGCTCTACGTGAGAAGGGTCTGGTTGTGCACGAAATTGACAGTGTGTCTACAGACAAGGAGCCAGTCAAGGTCTTGGGGTGGCAGTTCAGCGGGACGAAGATCCAGCCGGTGCCACTGCGAGTCTGGCGTGTCCGTTTGGGGATACAAGAGCTCCTCAAGATTGGCAATGTTCCCGGTCGCCAACTGGAAAAGGTCGTTGGACATGCGGCTTTCATTTGTTTGGGGAGGCGGGAGGGCTTGTCAATTTTTGGGGAGACATATACCTTCATCAAGAGGCACTATCAACACCGACACCGGTTGTGGTCATCTGTCCGTCGAGAGCTTCAGATATTTTGCTGGATTTTACCTTTAATTTGGCGGGATTTATCAGCAGACTGGAGCACGGATGTCACTGCAGTTGATGCATCAAATTGGGGTTTGGGAGCTACAGTTGCGACCTTTGACCAGCAGGAAGTTAAAACCCTTGGACAGTTTTCGGAGCGCTGGAGATTTGAATCAGACAATTTTTCCAGACCTCGGGTGACGGCTTTTGGTATTGGTGTTTCAGATGACACTGACGAGGCCACAGCAGTCCAATGGGCCGCCAACGCAGAGGGCATCAGCCACAATCAGCAGGTGTCCCCCTTAGACTTTGGGCAGGGGCGGAAGGATGAAAGTTTCTTCAAGCCAGTCCCCCTCAGTGTCGTTGATCGTCATTGGCGGGTTGTTGGAAGATACAAGTGGAAACGTCAAGAAGGGATGCCAGTGTTGGAAGCCAGATCCACCCTTTTTGCATTAAAGCATTCCTTGAGGAGGTCAGATAACATCAGCAAGAGGCTTTTGGTTTTATCCGACAGCATGACAGCCATATGCGCAATTGACAAGGGTAGAGGGCGCACAAGAGGTCTCAGGAGGGTTACTCAACAGATTGGCGCGCTTTTGCTTGCCAGTGGTTGTGTGTTGGGCCTCCGGTGGGTTCCTTCAGAAATGAATCCTGCAGACGGTCCTTCAAGAGGGTCCCTTTTTCCTGCTCGGCCCCACCTACCTGTTGTTCATGGTCATTCATCGGCAGATTCCAATGCCTCAGCTGGCCCCCGATCACCGGAAGAGGGAAGCAAAGAAGGTGAGGAAGAAGAAGGAAGCGCCCGGCCAGCAGCCTGCCTTGAATCTCGAGAAGCAGGCCAAAAGACAACAACAGCTGGAGCAAGTTGGCAGTCTCGCGAACGCCTCAGTGGGTCCAGTGGCTCTGAGTCGGTATCAGGCAATGCGGGAGAGGCTGCAGACGAGCGCCGGTCAAACGATCAATGCTCGAGTCTCTGCAAAGCGGATGGACCAGATGCTGTGCAATTGCCTGCACGAGATGTTTCTGGAGGGCGAAGGGTTCAGTTCAGCCCAGTACGTGGTGGCAGCCGCATTGTTTTTCTGCCCCCACCTTCGGTCGCCTCGTCAGATGATGCTGCCTATGACCAAACAGTGCTTGCAGGGATGGAGAAAACTAGACCCACCTTTGTCCCGGCTGCCGCTCCCACACGAGGTCGTGTGTCTGATGGCCGAGCACTCAATCAAGAAGAGCAAGATCGAGGAAGGACTCATGATGCATTTGGCCATGGAGGCCTATCTTCGGCCGGGGGAGCTCAACAAGATCAGAGTGGGCGATGTGGTGCCGCCGGTAGCCGGCAGCAAGAAGCCGCAGTGGTCCCTGGTCCTTCACCCGACCGAGGAGGGTCAGATGTCCAAAGCTCAGGAGTTCGACGAGACCATCATCTTCGATCTAGACGAGCAGCCTGCCCTTCTGGAAGCCATTTACCGTGTCATGCGGCTGGCGTTCAGGAATCCTCAGGAGAAGGTATTCAGTGTGAAGTTCGAAGAGGTCATGCGAAGGATGGAAGAGGCATGCCAGGCTCACAACATGACATGTCTGGGCCCGCCACATGCGTATCGGCTTCGACATGCAGGGGCCTCCCGGGATTTTCTGCTAAAAGCACGCAACATGGCGGACATACAGCAGCGAGGAAGATGGAAAGCGCCGTCCTCAACCCGAAGATACCAAAAAGGGGGTCGCTTGCAACAGATGCTGCATCAACTGCCCAAGGCCGCACGAGATGCGGCGTTAAGGGCAAGCCAGCGTCGCGTGGCCTTGCTCCGCAGCCTGCGCTGAGCAGGCAGCCGGGCACCTCGCCGGTCTTCATCGAGATTTTTTCTGGGTGTGGGAATTTGGCGAGAAGTGTTAGCAGACTCACCAACTGGGTGGTGCTGATTTGGGACATCACACTTGGCTCTGAATACGACCTGCGATCCATTAGCAAGCGTCGCTTGATTGGAGAGTGGGTTCGATGCGGCTGGGTGGTTGGTTTTCATCTTGGTACACCTTGCGACAGTTTCACCAGAGCACGAGATGTGCCGCCGGGACCTCCCCCTTTGCGGAGTGACACTTGCCCACTTGGTTTGAGCGGTTTAAGACCTTCTGATCAGGTGAAGGTGATTACAGGGAATTCATGGATGCGTTTTTCTGCATGGATATTGCGGCTGGCTTTGCAGTTCAATGTTTTTGCAACCATGGAGAACCCTCAACGATCACGGATATGGTTATGTCCGCCGATGTTGGCTTTGCTCAGAAGACCCTCAGTTTGCACGTATGTCACTCACTACTGTTTCTGGGGAAAGCCCTTCAAAAAGGCTACAAAGTTTTTGGCTGTCAACTTAGTGCTGAGCCGCCTGGACAATGCTTTCTGCCACGCTTCAAAGAGAGGTCTTTGTCGATTTACAGGGGCTCCTCACCTTCGGTTGTGCGGTCAAGACGAGCAAGGACAGTGGCTCACAAGAATCTCCCAGCCATATCCTGTCAAAATGTGCAACGCAATAGCAAAGTGCTTCAACGATGCAGAAGTACACCGAATAGCAGACCGATTTCAATCCAAATTGGCCTAAACCGGCTTCGCCAGAAGGCGTGGCAACTATGGGCCATCTTCCAACGGCTACAGATTGGTGACGCAAACATGGGTTGACGGTTGGATTTTGCTCGTGGCTTTGTCATGGACTTTCAGCTGACGATCTAAAGCAGTTGTCGAGTCACCTTTCTGGCCTAGCGGAAAAAGTGAGTGGAACGGTGCATGATAGTTCTCAGAACGTGATTGTTGAGTGGATGGATCTTTGAAGATGGCCGCTGTCATGTTATCCTCAAGCTCTCCACACCCAGACCCGCCCTGGAGCTCTTCGGGGTTGACAGTTGGATTTTGTTCGTGGCTTTGTCATGGACTTTCAGCTGACGATCTAAAGCAGTTGTCGAGTCACCTTTCTGGCCTAGCGGAAAAAGTGAGTGGAACGGTGCATCCAAATGACGTGAGGGTTTTCTTACTTTAAGTGGAAGCCAAAGGAAGAACCACCATTTTGGGGGTGGCCCTTGCAAGCCCAAAGCCGCCCGCGCAGTTTGTGGTTAGGGCATGCACAAGATACCAGGGCGACGTTAACCAATGGGGTCCAGAATCTAGGCAAGAAATTGCGCATGCCTGACCGCCATAATTGAGTCACACTTGGGCACTCCTTCTTTGGCAAGATGCAATCCGGCGACTCGTTCCGAATGTTCGAGACCAAGGCGGAAACCTGCATGTTGGACATGTTTTGCAATTGTGGCCCGACGTTCAATAGATCTCAATTCTCAGCGCAGGGCTTTCAAACATTTTTGCCACCCTCGGAATATTGTGCTCATTTTATTTTCTGTGCCCCAATCCTTCATGCCTCAAAGCTGACCCTCCATCCGCATTTGAATTCGCCAAGCATCAGGGCCTCGTAGAGCAGCAGTTGTGTCTGTGCATGCGCCTGTGGCACAACGAGCAGCGCAATAACCCCCCTGTCTTCCTATATATCGTTGGCTGCTTGGTAGGAAGCCTCTCTTTCCATTTCTCTCTCTTTCGCTAGAACCATGGTGCCGTTTCATTCCTCCATTTGAAGCCAGTGGCCTTTGTAGATCGTACTTTGCTGGCTGGATTGCTGGACTGGCAGCAAAAGAGCCCCGAGTTGGTCTGAGCTGAAAAAGACCTGGTTGATCAGCAGAAACATCCCCTGATAGCAACGTGCAGGCTGTCGCTGTAGGGTCTGGAACAAAACGCTTATATGCAAACGTTTCCAACCACCCAACCACCCAGCGTACAGGAACCACTCAATACCCGATGCCACCGAAAGCTACCCACGCCGCCCAAAGTACCAAAACCAGCAACCAAACACACACAAACGCCGCACTACTGAAGCCGCCCCGAAACCACTCAAAACCATTTCCAAAGCACACAACATGACCCCAAACCAGCACAACACGACCCCAAACAAGCTCGAACTGGACGAAACTCCCAAGCACCCAGCCCCCAACTTCCCAAACCACTCAGAAGCACCCAAACATCTCAAACTACCCAAGTCAAAACAACACAACACAAAAGCCAACCAACCCAAACTAGCGCAAACCGTCGGAACCGAAACCTTGCCAAGCGAATCTCTGCGCCTGCGAAGCCTTCAGCACCGGCCGGATGAGCTCGGCGAAGGGGAGGCGGAGGTCCAGCCAGGCCAGGGCAGTGCTGCGACGGCTCGGCTTTTCCATCGGACCCGTTTGGGGTCTGCCAATAATTTGTGGACTGAAGGCCGTTTGGATTGCCTGTTCGGGGGCCAACAGATTTGCGCGGCCCAAAACAAACCTCGTAAGAATGTCACTCTGACACTCCCAAACAACAAGATCTGCGCGGCAAGCTACCAAGCGTCGAGGTTGGCGTTTGGACGGGATGACTGACGCGGCCCCGAAAAAAGGAACTTAGGCTAGCTAGTTTAAATTGCATGCTCACTGCGGGCGCAGTAAAGACACCTTTGCTCAAGCATCTTGTGTTCGGACGGTGCTGCATTATTGCCTCGCATGCGATCAGCAATTCAAGCTCTTCCTCTGGCACTGTTTGCCAGGCGCGCTCCGCCTTTTTCCTGCCCGTTCTCGCGCATCTTGCGCTCCCCGTAGTCCCCCCCCCCCATGCAAGTGTTGATTTAGCAGTTCGAGCCACAAGGAGAAGTCAAAAGAAGCTCTTGCTGTCTCGCCGCCAACCACCAAACACTAGTCGCCCAAATGAGTTGCACCTATCGAACGCTGGACCAAAGAAAGTGTCATCTGAAGCTTTGAGTGACCGCCTCTGGCTTTTCTGCTTGCATTAACTTCTCCACTCACTTCTAAGCGACCGAGATAACTCAGGAGTCGATGTGCCAAAGGCGCCGAAGAGTCCTGCGTGGCCGACGGCTTTTGCATAGGCGAGTTCAGTATAAATGCGTCCTTTTGCAAGAAGAAGGGCTCAACTCATGAAAGTCGCAACCGCCCTCAAATGGGGAAACGCGTGGAAAGGCCAAGAAGCAGATGCTGGCTGCTTCCTACATTTGGGCTTTCCTTCCTTGTGCAAATGCCAAGCCCTTGCAAGCCCGCGAGACGCTCGACTTTCGCAACGCTTTTAGCGTGGGGCGCCTCCTCATCTGTGAGAAGAGCCCAAGTGATGGATCAGTGCACTGCAGATGTATACCCTCCGCCTGCCCAAGGATCCCTTGGGAGGAGTTCAAGGTAGGCCCTAGATGTGGAAGCCAACGTCTTTCTATCGACAATTATTCCCAAGATCGCCCTCGGCGACCGAAGCCCGCCTGCACGGAGAGGGACCTGCACGAATCAGAGACGCTCAGCGGCTCCGTTATCCCCAAGCAAAATCGAAGCAAACACATTCAGAACCACTTGGAGTGGTGTTCAGACTGGCCCGCATCTTTCAGGTTAGTTTCAGACTGGAAACTTGAAGGTGACTCAAGAAGGCCAAGCCGAGCGTGAGACAATGTCTTTCAACCGTTGCATTCTGCAGTCTGTTGCGCAGTGAACAGGCAAGCTGACAGGACAAATCTGCTTCATTCTGTGGTCGGCTGATTGCTTGCTCCGAAATTTGAGTGTTTTATGTCAATCACAATATTATTCCCCAACAGCTGAAAGCTTTGGGGTCTCAGCCAGCCGAGATAGGCTCTGGGGTGGTCCGGGGCGGCCCTGAGGTAAGGTTCCAGGAGGGTTCCACCAGCGTTCCACCAGCGTTCCACAAGGTTCTGCGATGGCTGCGGGGTGGTGCGAGTACTAAAAAAAGCACCGCATGCTGTTGGGGATATCACCTGAGCTTATGCTTTGTGAGCTACAAAATGGCATCCAAGCCAACCAAACTCATGCTAGATTACTGGCTCATCCACATGCTGGCTGCTGCGCAGGCCTCAGCCTCAGACAAGGGGAGTTGCGGAGGCTCCTGCGACGAAATCTCCCACGGATGGCTGCTTTCTCGCACGGCTCAATCGGCAACTAGTGGCTCTAATGTTGCACCACGTTTAATGTGACACAGATGTCTGTCTTGAACGTTGTGCACCCATTTGGGGCACCATCTTTAATGTCAAAACAAACGCATAAGATTGGGAACGTGACTCAACAGCTTTCTTTCAGCGATTCTCCTCTGCCTTAGGTATTCTCAACCTGCCAAGCTTAGACTCAGATCTAAGACTTGTTCGTGCGTTTTGGACGCCAACCATCAACTTGTGTTTTGCAATCTCTCCAAAAAAAAGCAGGGCGTATAGGCGTGGAAGGGTGCATTCCACAAATGGTCCTGACCATCTTTCATGGGCACTGTTTGGGCACCAACTTTTCATTCAAGAAAAGACATTTACAAAAGGCATAGGCCCACAACCCTGTCCATCATAGTCTTTGCTTCACAAGAGGCTCACTGAAGAAGTATTGGCAATAATGAGCAATATTGCTTATTAAACCAACACCAAGCCATACTACACCGATTCTAAAGCAGGTCAAACCAATACCAAACCAGTACCAAACCAATACTAAACAAGCAGAACCAACCGAAGAGCATTGAACAGATCTGAAAACGGCCGAAGACTACTGGGAAGGGAGGGCCTTGTCTATGGTCACCTCGACTGGCCTGACTTAACCCCACAGATTAAACGAGGCGCCACGCCACGAACTTGCCGCGGGTGCAAAGTATGACGCAACTCTGGAGAGACAAAACTCGACCTTGTGCTTTTGCAAGTCCGCCATACATGATAAGGTAGTTTCAAACACACAAGGCCCAAACCCAGTCAAGACCTGCAATTCAAGCCAACCGTCCGTTCTCGACCTTG